AGTCTCCAAATCTGGGTGCTGCAGAGGAAAAGCTGGTCTTGGAATCAGAAAGCTGGGTCTAAATTTAGTTGACAAATTTATTTTGAAGAATAAATTGTGATAATATTTTTTAAAATTCTCTTATCTGGTGAACTTATATTTCATATTGCATCTGAAGCTAGGTGTTTTACATGTACATGTAAGCCAACTAATTCTTTTTAATATTTATTTTTTAGTTATAGGTGGACAAAATACCTTTATTTTATTTTTACGTGGTGCTGAAGATTGAACCCAGTATCTCACACATGCTAGGTGAGCGCTCTACCTCTGAGCCACAACCCCAGCCCCTCAACTAATTTTTAATAAATGACTTTGAGCGCCAGGCTTGGTGGCACATACCCATAATACCAGTGGCTCTGGAGGCTGAGATAGGAGAATCACAAGCTCAAAGCCAGCCTCAGCAACTTATCGAAACCCTAAGCAACTTAGACTCTGTCTCAAAGTAAATTTAAAAGGGCTGGAGATGTTGCTCAGTGGTTAAGCACCCCTGGGTTCAATCCCTGGTTAATAATAATAATAATAATAATAATAATAATAATACATATTTCAAAGTCTTCCTTTTTAAAATTTTTTTTCTCCATATCAAGGATTGAACCCAGGAGCGCTTAACCACTGAACCACATCCCCAGCCCTTTTCATATTTTATTTTGACAGGGTCTCACTAAGTTGCTTAAGGCCTTGCTAAATTGCTGAGGCTGGCTTTGAAACTTCAACCCTCCTGACTCAGCCTCCAGAGCCCCTGGGATTATAGGCATGTGCCACAGTGCCCAGCATGAAATATATATAATTATTCCCACTTTACAGATGAGGAAAGTGAAGCCCTTGGATGTTGAAAAATTGTTCCAAGCACCATTTGATGAAGAGATTATCTTTTCTCCAATGCATGTTTTCGGTGCCTTTGTCTAATATAAGATAATTGTAATTTTGTGGGTTAGTCTTTGTGTGCTCTATTCTGTACCATTGTTCTACCAGTCTGTTTTGGTGCCAATACCATGCTGCCTTTGTTACTATTGCTCTGTAGTATAGTTTAAGGTCTGGTATAGTGATGCCATCTGTTCCAATCTTCCTGCTAAGGATTGCTTTATTCTGGGTCTCTCATTTTCCAGATGAATTTCATGACTGCTTTTTCTATTTCTATGAGGAATGTCATTGGGATTTTGATCAGAATTACATTAAATCTGTATAGTGCTTTTGGTAGTATGGTAATTTTGATAATATTAATTCTGCCTATCCAAGAGCAAGGTAGATCTTTCCATCTTCTAAGGTCTTTTTTGATTTCTTTCTTTAGGGTTCTGTAGTTTTCATTGTAAGATCTTTCACCTTTTTCGTTAAGTCGATTCCCAAGTATTTTATTGTTTTTGAGGCTATTGTAAATGGGGTAGTTTTCCTCGTTTCCCTTTCTGAGGATTTTTCACTGATATACAGAAATGCATTTGATTTATGGGTGTTGGTTTTATATCCTACTACTTTGCTGAATTCACTTACTAGTTCTAGAAGTTTTCTGGTGGAACTTTTACATCATCTACAGGGACACAGCCACATCAATGTTTATAGCAGCACAATTCACAATAGCTGAACTGTGGAACCAACCTGGATGCCCTTCAATAGCTGAATGGATTAAAAAAAATGTGGCATATATACACAATGGAATATTACTCAGCAATAGAAGAGAATAAAATCATGGCATTTGCAGGTAAATGGATGAAGTTAGAGAAGATAACGCTAAGTGAAGTTAGCCAACCCCCCCCAAAAAAAAACAAATGCTGAATGTTTTCTCTGATATAAGGAGACTGATTCATAATGGGGTAGGGAGGGTGGAGCATGGGAGGAATAGACAAACTCTAGACAGGGCAGAGTGGTGGGAGGAGAGGGGTGGGAGTGGGGTTAGAAATGATGGTGGAATACGATGGACATTATTATCCAAAGTACATGTATGAAGAAACAAATTGGTGTGAATATACTTTGTATACAATCAGAGATATGAAAAATTGTGTCTTATATGTGTAATAAGAATTGTAATGCATTCCACTGTCATATAAATTTAAAATTTTTTTTTAAATGTAAGGTGTTGTTTTAGTCAGCTTTCTTGCTGCTGTGACTAAAAGATCTGACCAGAACAATTGTAGAGGAGAAAAAGTTTATTTGAGGGCTCCTGGTTTCAGAGTCTTAGTCCATAGAAGGCTGGTTCCATTCCTTGGGGCTTAAGGTGAGGCAGAACATCATGGCAGAAGAGTGTGGCGTAGGAAAGCAGCTCACATGATGGTCAAGAAGCAGAGAAAGACCCTGGTAGACCCAGCCTGATTTTCTCTTAAAATTGGGAGCCATCTTACCCCAAAGCCATGAAACTATAATTTCGGTTTTACTATAAATTACTGCAAATTCTGAACTAGCTTAGAATGCCTGCCCGTGCCTTGAACTTACCCATGCCTGGCTCTCTGACCAGATAGCAGCCCTCTCTGAAACTTTAGTGACGCCTCACAAATCTTGGCCTTTCCTGGCCAGATAACAACTCTCTCTGAGGCTCTAATGACCTTCATAAATTCTGATGTCAGGGCCAGCAAAAATGTAAACTAGCCTTCATGTTATGCTCGTCAGAGTTTTGTTATCTGTAACCCCCCTTTGGGTAACTTTCTGGGCTATAAAGCTGGGCAGCAAGAAAGCTGCGGTGCTGTCTTGTTCCTGCAGTTTTTGGTGGGAGAGGCATCACAGCCGGTCAAAATAATAAGCTTGCTTTAATTTGATTTTAATTTGAGTCAGTGGTCTTTTCTTTGCGTCCTGGTCTAACAACCCCACTCTCCAGATACAAAATATTTACCCTAAAGCCACACTCCCAATGAACCATTTCCTCCAGCCATACCCCACCTGCCTCTAGTTACCACTCAGTTAATCCCATCAGGGATTAATTCACTGATTAGGTTAAGGCTATAACCCAATCCCAATTTCTCCAAATTTTCTTGCATTGTCTCACACGTTGTCTTATTATAAAATATCTTTGAAATTACAATTCTCTACTAATATTCCCACATATTCTTCCCTCCTATCTGCCTATATAAACTTCTTACCCAGCATAGTGGATCAAACCAACTAACCTAGCAGAGTCAAGAGCCAGAAACTTCTGATCTCAGCCAATGAATCATCATGTGAGCACGTTACTTCTCTTTGCTTCCTCATTTATGTTTTCTCAGTTACGAAATCAGTAACTTGCATGTGGATTACACTGACCCACATCTCAGAATGTCATGAGTGAATACTGAAAACTTAGAAAACTTTCAATGATCCACTTTTCAAATCACCCAAATATTCCAAAGAAATTGGTAAGATTTGTGCCCCATGACAACAAGAGGCAGGGATGTTGAGTGGAATGTAGGATCAATGTCATGACAAAGGTAGAAAAAAGAATCTAGTCTGCTTTTCCAACTCCACATCTGCTGTCATAGAATTGTACCCCCTGAACAGCTTGGTGATTATATATGAATTTTTTCATATGTACACTGTCATTGTAGGATATGAACCTGATTCAGATTGCAAAATTAGCTATGCATAACTTTAAAGTTGCTTAAGAAATAGGTTGATGTAAATCTGATATACACTACAAAACAATCCTTTTTTTTTTATTATTGCTAAGGGTTTTCTCAGCAGATATTTATTGGATGCTTACAAAGTGCCAAGCAGGGTGCCATGCAGGGGCTGTGGCTAGCACAGTAGACAAGACAAACCTTAACTTTGCCTTCAAGGAGTTTATAACCCAGTAGATGAGGTCAATGCTGAGCAAAATCACAGTACTAACAAATTGGTAGGTTCTCAAAAGCTCAGTATGCTATGAGAAAGTATTACAGGGGGACTCCAGCTTGCCTGAAGACTCAGGGAGAGCTTCCTTGAGGAAATTACATTTCAGCAGATAGGCGGCTGTCATCCAGGGTGTGTAACTACATTCACATCTCAGCTCTGACACTTGGACAAGTTGCTGTCTCAGAGCTTGAGGCCTCATGTGTAAAATGAGAAAAAAATGTGCTTTTAGCAAGGTTGTGAGAATGAGAGGTAACACAGGTAAAGCACCTCTCCCACAATCAGGCATATAGTAAGCACTAAGTGCTTGTTGCTTGCTATAATTATATATCAACATAAACATCAAAGGAAAACTAAAGAAAGTTTGGATAAAATTGAAAGATATATGCATAGAGGGGAAATTTGGCATAGTCTCCAAATCCAAGGGGTAGTCAGTACATCACAATTATATGGGGGCTTCTTTCCTCCATTTCAGATCTCTGAGCCAATAATAATAATAAGTAATTATAATTATACTACTAATAATAAATAATCATAATTACTATTATTAGTAGTAGTAGTATTTAGTGGATCTCTAAGACTTCACTAAATACTATTTACCTAAGTTGATAAAGAATTGTTGAGAGTTGATCTCTTTCTGGGTACAGTTTAGCCAAAGCAAACTTGGTCAGGTTTTTCAAGCAAAAAGTAAGATACCTGAGAAATAGCTTCCTGGCCCGAGAACACAGGGTTAATCCTATTTGGTAAGCTCAAGTGACAAGCCAGTGTTTAAACCAAATGGGAGGGAAAATGAGGAATGCTCAACTGAAGGTTCGTTCAGAAGAAGTAGCGCCATCTGGATGGGACCTGGAAGAGGGAAACGACCCTGTTTCCCCCACAGGGCGCAGAATATTGTCCCTAAGGGCGCTCAGCTCCAGATGCTCAGCACTCCTTCCCGGGCGCTCCCTCCTAGCCATGTAGGCGCTTGGATCCTAGCCATCTGCGCACCCTTCAGGATGAGTGTGGGTGATTTCGTAAGTGGACGTGACCGCCACCGAGGGGAGAGCCTGCAAGGAAATGGGAGTGACCGGGGATGGCAGGGCGGAGAGAAGAGGGAGCAGTGGGAGGGATGCAGGGGAGGAGTGGGAGGGATGTAGGGCGCAGTGGGAGGGGTGAGGGCGTGAGACGGTGGAGAAAAGAAGAAAAGGGTGCGGTGGCCAGGCGGGAGGAAGTGCGCGAGCTGTCGACTCTCGCTGCGCAGCCGCTTGCGGGTGGAGCACCCAGGTGAGCCCGAGATGCTGCTGCGCTCCGAGCAGGGGCTGCTCCTTCTGCTCCTGGGGCCGCTCGGTCCTCTCTCCCAGGGCGCCCTGGCGGGACCCTGGCAGGCCAAGGACATCGTGGAGCTGGACTTCTCCACTGAGCGGCCACTGCACCTGGTGAGTCCCGCGTTCCTGTCCTTCACCATCGACGCCAACCTGGCCACCGACCCGCGGTTCCTCACCTTCCTGGGGTAAGCGCCAGCCTCCTGGTCCTGTCCCCTCTCCTGGCCTCCCGACACACCCGCCAGTCGGGCCAGCCACTCTCCTCTCTTCTGCGGTGAAACAACTTTACATTTGGTCTTGAGAACACCCTCCCCCACGACACACACACACACCCTCTCCAGCCGGTTGCAGACAGCTTTCGCATTTTTACTTCATTCATTCAGCACGTGTTGGCTGAACGACAACCAAGCACAAGTATTATGGAAATTTTTTGGAAAAGAAACTACCCACCTGCCTTAGCACCCCGCTAGCTGGAGAGGACAGAGACAAGTGCCCCTGGAGGGCTGTTTGAATTTTTTGTGCAGTATACAATAAATAAATAAATAAATAAATAATAAGCTCGTGGATCAGGTTTTGTGGTCCTTTAAAAGCTGTTAGAAAGATTTTGTTTTTAAAAAATAAATTTAAAAAAATCAGACGGAAAAGACCTCAAAGGAGAAGAATATGTGTTACTTATTTCTTTTAAAAATTTAAATGTTAGATAAGTGAGTCCTCGGAGACTACCCCAGCGACTCAGAGCCCTAATAAAAAGATGTCTCTCCAAAATGAAACTGCAAAATGTGGTGCTGCTTTAACAGTTTTAAATGGTTTGTTTGTTTATTTCCTCCTCACCTGTGGAAATGCACCTGTTGCAGGTTTATTGCTTTTGCCTCAGTCTGATCACAAGATGAACAGCTACAAGGACAGTCCTAGGTCATCTAGGCCATAGGAGCTTCCAGAGATGACCACATCTTGACCAGTCCATCATCTCACCATGGTCAAAGGCCTAGACTTGCCCTTCCTGAGCCCACACTGTTAGGCCATTGCTAATTTCACAGGTGGTCTAGTTAGTGGTTAAAAGATTGACAGGCAGAACACCTTGTCTCGACTCCCAACTGTGTAAAACAAGGAGACTCGGTTTTTATGGGCAGCTTGGCCACTCCAAGTCTTTGCTTCTTTATCTGTAGAATAGATTTTCTAGAGCCTGCCTCATAGAATTATTATGAAAATTTGATAATATGATAAGTAATTGGCACAATGTTTGACTTGGAGTATTTAAGTTCCTTGTTTCTTCCTGGGAAATAGTGTTCGCGTAGCCATTCAGCAGTTTTCTGTGTCTCTTTTCCCCTTTGTGGGGAGGAGGGGCCCCGCTTTTTGCCCTTCCCCTTAAGGATAGAAAGTTGACACCTGGCTGCAGCTGGATGGAGGATGGGAAGAATACTCTGGAGAAATGCTGAACGCAGGCCTCTGGATCTGAGGACCCCAAGCCTGACGGGGGGGATGGGGGAGCTCACTGAAAACATGATGAAGTAAGTGTCCATTTACTTAAATGTGAGGACTGAAGTCCTCTTCTGCCACAGCTAGCAGATACCACGCTCCCTCTCCAGGAATGTGCAGGTAGGGATCCCCTTTGGAGAAACAGGTCCAAAAAAAAAAACATGGTATAACTTTTAGGATCCAGGGTCAAACACTCTGCAGTAAAGTTCACCTCAGTGAACTAGCATTTCCACCCCGAACACAGAACTTCCAGGTTACAATTTAGTAAGAGTGATACCTTTACTCTTCTTAACACATCTCTTAGCTTCCCATAACACTCTTTCTTCCCTCTTACCCCAATCCCTTTTTGTTGGAGACTAGAGGATAATGAAAATCCAAGAAACAACCTGGTTTGGTGTTTTTATGTTTTGTTTTACATTTTGATTTTGGGTTGTGTTTGTGTGCATTTATAAAAACAATTCCTCTCCATACAAGCTTCTTTCCAGGTTACTCATCTGCTTGCACTGTTCTCAGTTGATTAGTAGAGGTAGGAGCGCCTTCTCCTGAGCTCAGTCTTCGCTGCTAAATCTCCCCAGGGTGGTTAGCATAGGGCCTGGGGTGGCGGACAGTCATCTCAGAAGGTGACACTAAACTTATTGTCTGTTTACAGTTGTAGAGAAGGTTGAGCTGGTTGTTATTTTATCCCAATTCCTTAAAAGTAAAGATGCATGGGCAAGACTGGCAAGAGTTGAACAGCTGAAAACTAAGTAAGGAAGGAGGACAGTACAAGAGCTGACCCCTCCTGAGCGCTGATCAGTTTCCCAGGCCCTGTTCTAGGCCCTTCCTAATCTGAATTCATTTAGTCTTTCCTGCAGCACTATGAGATGAGTATGATTATCATTCCCATTTTAAGAGTGAAGAATTTCTGATTCGGGGAGATTAAATAATTTGGCCATGATCAGCCAGATAGCAAATGAAAGCAGAGTTTGAAAGTAGACTTTGATCACAGAGACAACAGTACACAAAAAGAAAGCAAAGCAATTTTTATTTTTTAAAGGAAATGGGACAGAACATGTTAGAAAAAGATTGTCCAGAAACAAATTGAGAGACGGAAAAGAAGCACTGACACAAAGATGCTAGGGAATCAGGACCGAAAAACCTCTAAGGTCCTGGAAAGCAGAACTAAGTAAATTTCATCAGATGTTGCAGTTCTGGCTTCCCACAATGGCAAACAGGTTCATCTGTGTTCTGATACATAAAACCAAAAAGCTAATGATAGAAACAATTTAGAATTGAAAAATAGAAGTTGTAATTTCTCCTCCTAGAGGCAATTAATCAACAAACCAGAATATTTCCTCAGCCTGACTTGGCGCAGAACTCCAAAAAGGACCTGGCCTTAGAAATAGTATGTGGAATAGAAATCTCATGTGAGCTTCGTGTTGCAAGGCATTTATGGAATTTTAAATTTTCTAGTAGTTATATTTTAAAAAGTAAGAAGAGGTCTGGGATGTAGCTGCGATGTAAAACACTTGCCTCGCATATGAAATGCCTTGGGTTTGATTCCCCAATTCCAAAAAAAAAAAAAAGGAAAAGACAAAAATAAATGAAGTAAAAAGAAACAGGTGAAATTAATTTTAATAATTATGTTATTGATTTGATTATTTTTAACATTATAACTGTAATTGATATAAAATTATTAATGAGGTATTTGACATTTCTTTTCTCAAACCACATCTCCAAAATCTACATTTTATATGCTTACAGCACTTCTCAATTTAGACTGCTAACATATGTAAAGTGGCTACTGTATTAGAGAGTGCTTACATTTGAGTCAAGACACATGCAGAAGCATAATTCCCTCATGCAAGATAAAACAATGCATAGCTGAGTACTGTGCTTCATAAGAAATCATAAGTATTACAAAGCAAAAGTGCTGTTGAATAGGAATAATATTAACATTGCAGGTGTGCTTGCTTGTCATAGTAATCTGTTTTTTCTTCAGCAAAGTTCATCTTTTTTGTTTTTTGCCAGTTTAATAAATATTCATTAATAATAACTTTCAACAATTAGATTTCTGCCGGGCATGGTTATCCACACCTGTAATTCCAGTGGCTCTAGAGGCTGAGACAGGAGGATTCTGAGTTCAAAGCCACCCTCAGCACCTTAGCAAGGCACTAAGCAACTCAGTGAGACCCTGTTTCTAAACAAAATATAAAAAAAGGGCTGGGGATGTGGCTCAGTGGTTAAGCACTCCCAGATTTAATCGCTGGTATCAAAAAAATAAAATAAAAACAATTAGATTCCCACATCATTAACAAAGTTGCTTTTTCATATTTGGAAAAATACTTATCACCGTGAAATGCACGTTTTTATAACTGATGTATAAAGAGCCACAGATCCTCCATGTGCCAGTTGCTGGTGGAAATGACTATGGAAAGAGAGACAGAGCTAAGAACAATGACAGTTCTGATCCCTGAGAAGCGCTGTTCCCCTGAGTGAGCTCTTAGTGTTCCCCTCCCTCCTGAACCTTTCCACTGTGTTCCTTTGCACAGTGACCCCTTTCTGTCCTCAGAATATTCCCTCCACCCCCTTGCCCAACTAAAAACATGGCACTTCCCTGAAGACATTCTCTTCCCCTGTAACCCTTTAGAATTCAGGTTGCACATTCTCCCACACTCCAGTCCTTTTCCTGTTCCCCCACACAGCTTCTAGGTAACAGCCCACTCGTTTGAACGCAGACTGCTGTAGTTCAAATTCCTTTTGACTTACTCCCTTGGACAAGTTAACTTCATTTCCTTTTGTTCAGGTTCTATATCTACAAAATAAGGATAATAATGACACCCACCTCATTGGGTTATTTTGAGACTAAGTGAAAAAAAAAATCTATGCAACATGCTTAAAACACTCAACTTGGACTAAGCTGACACATATTAGAGATGATTGTCATGACACCAGTGTGAGGTTCTAGTTCTCATGCAATGCTCCTTGTCATAACACTCTGCTCCCCTCTTATTTCTCCTTATTGATTAAAGACTGGCACTGATCTCCCAGCTTCCTCTCTAACATCAAGTCCCGTCATCATCCTGGATGCCTTTAAATCCATCTGAATACACTTCTCCCTTGATTTCTTCACCCTACACATTATTTGATACTCTTCATTCAGTGTGGTAAGCAGCTTGCACCAGCTCACAAAATGAGTTCATTTCTTCTCAACTCTGCATTCAGTGACATCATACTGCTGTCTTGAAATGGTGGGGATTTTTACATCACTGTGGCATAAACGTCATGGTGGAAATTGCAAACAGTGAAAATCAGGGCACTTTCCTGAGAGCTGGCCTGGCAGCACACACTAATTCACACCACTTCATCTAGTGAATTTCATGAGCACACCTCAGTGCTCTTCATCACTAGTGATCTTCCAACATCCAGAAACTTCAATTCAGATTTCTCATCTCCATATCCTCTCAGCCCCTTTATTCTATGGTAAGAGTAAGGAAGTACCTCCACTGAACAATTTCCTCCTCTCTCTACTTCTTCCATATTTGATTTGGGCTTCTTTTTTTAAATATTTATTTTTTTTAGTTGTAGTTGGACACAATACCTTTATTTTATTTATTTATTTTTATGTGGTGCTGAGGATCGAACCCAGGGTCTTGCACATGTAAGGCGAGCATTCTACTGCTGAACCACAAACCCAGCCCATGATTTGGGCTTCTTTTTTACTTTTTTTTTTTTTTGGGGGGGGGTGTGTGTGTGTGTATACCAGGGACGGAACCCAGGGCCTTAATCACTGAATCACATCCCCAGCCCTTTTTGTTGTTGTTTGTTTTTTATTTGAGGCAGGTTCTCACTAAGTTGCTTAGGGCCTCACTAAGTAACTGGCTCCTGCTTCAGCCTCCCCAGTCTCTGGGATTACAGGCATGCACCACAGCACCTGGCATAGTCCTTCTTGATTTATCACCCAAACTCCTCTTGTGATAGTAATCTCAAATCCTGAGCCATTGTTCTTCCTGATAAAACTCCCAAATCTGACTTGTTCCAACTATATTTTCTCTCTTTGGAATCTACAGTGTGGCCCCTAAATCTGGAAATGGAAAAATATTGCTTAATGTTTGGTGCATATTAATAAACCATCTCTGCTCTTTGTGTCAAAGATATACAACTTACATTTGCACAAAAGCTAAAATAAAAACAACTGCAGACTCTTGGGTTTTCCCCCTAACAAACTGCTCTGGAAACGAAATAGCTGCAGCTGTTTTTATATATTCTTTCATTATTTCCATATCATTGTAGTAGGAGCTATTTTTCCCTTTCCTTTTTTCTACATATGATTGAAATACTGTACCTTTGATCAATTTTGTTTTTATGGAAAAGTTCTGCAGCTGTATTAAATATGTTTTTGTCAGAAGGCATCAATATTGTATTCTCAAAACATGGAAATATTCCAGTGCAAAGGAGACTTAATACCAAAACTTTGAAACGTGATTTCCTTTATGGAGCAACAGCCAAAGCACTGGGTTTTAATTTCATTTTGTTCAGAATATAATCTTTGTTTGGTCTCCTTCCTCTTTCATCAGACTAGCCTCCCTTGTTCTTTCACTTACCACATATTTATTAAGTAGCAGCTGTGTGCCAGACATTTGTCTAAATACTGGGGAGAGTCTGATAAACCAGACAAACAAGGTCCCCTGCTGTCAGGGAGCTTGCATCAGAAGTGAGGCTGGGCTAGATAGGAAACCAAGGAAATACATGAGGCTGATTTGAGAGAGTGGTGAATGCTGTGAAGGAAATAAGGCAGGGTGATGTGGCGAAGAGCTCCCCAAGGTGATATAGTTCGAACCTTTGTGCACCAGCTCTGGCATTCAGGTATCTGACCCAGACTATCTTTCAATGCCTGGGCTCCTTTCCCAGATGCTAGTTTTTCCTTCCATTTCCCAAAGAGGACCAATCTCTTGTCAAATCTCAATTGCTTACAGATATTAGCTACATGAATCTAAATGAGTTTTTCTATCACCAAATAATCACAATACCAAGAGCTAGAGTCAATGCCTAGCTAAAGGCAGTAATGGTGTCAGTCTTGAGTGACTCTCTCAGAGCAGGTTCCTCACATTGGTTTTAAGGCCATGTCTTGGGACCTGTGCCCTAGGGGTTACTAGTCACTGATCTTTATACTCACCAATCTGTATCCCTAGCCTAGATGTGTCGCTTGAATTCCAGACACACTTGGTCAAGGGCTAGATGGAAATAAGGTTTTTGGTGTTACTTCAGCATTTCAAATTCTACAAAACTAAACCTTCTCTCTGTTTTCTCCTTCATCCTTATCACCAATCTATTACCAACTCTTTATCTCAACAAATGATATTACCATCTTCCAACTCATTTCCCAAGATAAACCCTTGCCTCCTCCTCAACATTGAATTAATAACTAAACTTATAATTTCTATGTGTAAATATGTCCTAAATGTATCCACTGCTCTCTATCCCTGAGGCAAGTTACCAAGTTAGAAGTCCAGAAATAAGTCTTTCAAAAGAAAATGAAGTAAAAACATTTGACTAGGTTGTCTTGGAAAAAATAATTATACTTTCTTGCTTGTCTTCATAACAGTTCTCCAAAGCTTCGTACTTTGGCCAGAGGTTTGTCTCCTGCATACCTGAGATTTGGTGGCACCAAGACAGACTTCCTAATTTTTGATCCCAAGAAGGAACCAACCTTTGAAGAAAGAAGTTACTGGCAATCTCAAGTCAACCAGGGTGAAACTTTTTAAAGATTCTATATTTTAATTAACTTGTGTCTGTCATGAGAATACTGGGAGAAAAGTGTTATTGCTCACATATTATAAATTCACAAGAGATTAGGACCCCAACTGATCTGTGGAGGTGCCTAAATGACAGGAGCAAGCTATGGACAGGTTTCCTCATTTGATCTTTTCATGACTGTGGAACCTTACAGACAAGGTGTGCTGAGCATAACTGAGAAGGAGTTGTGCTATTAATAGGACAGTGGTTGTAGCCAAAGGACAGGGCTGCTTGGAGGGAGCACATGGGCAAAAAGGTGACAAACTGAAGAGGCTATTTCCAGCTTAATATATCCACACAGCAATAGATTTTTTTTTAAATTTAGCACATTTATTCTGGAAATAGAATGTGGAAGGAAGATCTAACAAGGGGTACAGAGATACACTCTGCTTCTACAAATGGGTTTCAAAAAACTTGATTTCCTGGGCAATGGTTCTCAACCATTTTTGGCTGTTCATATCACTTGCTATGAATCTGAATATTTGGATCTCTGGGCTCCAGCCTTAGAGTCTGAGTTTAACGAACTAGTTAAGTGATTCTGATATTAGAAGTGTGTGGCTACTATACATACGGTGCAACGCTACATCATTTACAACCGTAGAAATGTGAAGTTGTGCTGCAATTGTGTACAATGAATCAAAATGCATTCTGCTGTCATAAATACCTAATTAAAATAAATAAATAAGTTTAAAAAAAAAAAGTGTGTGGCTTCACCTGAGAAACCTGCCCAATGGAGTTTTGAAGATTGTCCTGGGTCTTTCAGAAGTGCCACTAGATGTCAAATGGAAGTTAAATCGCTGTCTGAGCAATTGATAAATATATACATCAACAAATTATGATAATGTGTATCTAATACCGATATTAATGAGTAATATTTAATTATTTTATGTATTACATATTTTCCTTTTGTTTATTTTCTTCAGCTAGGAAGTAGTTAGAACATTTAATCGGACATTGGACCAAAATTAAGTGAGTGGTAATTAGAAAAAATAGAAGAAAGGCAGGGGATTCTCTTTGAATAATGAGTTTTGGAATCGTTTGGATTTGGCCCTTTCCAGCAGTCACATGCCTTCAAAAGCTCTAAACCTTTTTAGGCAGGAAACTGTCCTTTTGTCACCAGTTTTTTTTTTTATCTTGGGGGGAGGGTTGTCACTGGGATTATCCCAGTTCCTCTGAAACATCCTTTATGAGTGCAGGGATAGAGGAGGCCCAGTTGCCAGCAAGTCACAATGTGCAGGTTCCCAGAAAGGAAGTGGTTGGCCAGTCAAACGCCCTGGCAGCAAGCACCCAGAGGCCCTGCTGCCTTGTGATAAAGAAACACAGGGTCCCCAGCCTAGTAGCAAGGTTTTCCAAGTACATGGGTTGTGGTCCCAGAAGCTTGGATGGTATCAAATGTAGAGGGGGGAAAAGTCAATAATCTCTATCTTCATTTTTTGGTGGGGGGCTGGGTGGGTACCAGAGATTAAATTCAGGGGCACTCAACCACTGAGCCACATCTCCAGCTCTATTTTGCATTTTATTTAGAGACAGGATTTACTGAGTTGCCTAGCATGTCGATTTTTCTGAGGCTGGCTTTGAACTCCTGATGCTCCTGCCTCAGCCTCCTGAGCTGCTGGGATTACAGGCATGAGCCACTGCGCCTGGCCAGGCCTATCTTCATTATAGCAAGAAGAAATCACTATGAAGTAGACAGAGGCCGTGTATGATAAATGTCTACTATATATTTTAAAGTGAACCTTAACAGAACTGAACTAGGTTTTCTGTTAGGGTCCCCTGGTAATTTCATACTTCTGAGCTACCTTTTGGGGTTTTTTTTTTTTGTTTTTTTTTTAATTTTTTTTATTTTTTAATTTTTTTTTTATTGGTTGTTCAAAACATTACAAAGCTCATGACATATCATCTTTCATGCATTTGATTCAAGTGGGTTATGAACTCCCATTTTTACCCCAAATACAAGTTGCAGAATCACATCGGTTACACATCCACATTTTTACATAATGCCATATTAGTGACTGTTGTATTCTGCTACCTTTCCTATCCCCTACTATCCCCCCTCCCCTTCCCTCTCATCTTCCCTCTATACCCCATCTGCTGTTATTCAATTCTCTCCCTTGTTTTTTTTCCCCTTTCCCCTTACAAACTCTTATATGTAATTTTACCTTTTGAATTATTTAAATAACTTGAAGCCATATCCAGTGTTCTATGACCAGTGTATGTCCAATATGTCCAGTGTTTCTTAGGAACATTCTTCTTAGAGTTTTTTTTTTGTGTGTGTGTATGGTGGGTGGTAAGCTGGCAAATTTGGCACATATTGTTCTCTGATCTCTTACCCAATAACCTGAAACTTAATTATGCTGCTTTAGTCATGTAATAGCTAACTAAACGTGTGTAGGATTTCAACCTTATTACAACAAACACACATTCTCTAATTCTCTTTTTCACCCACAGATATTTGCAGATCTGGATTGCTCCTTTCTGATGTGGAGAAAAGGTTACAGTTGGAATGGCCCTTCCAGGAGCAGCTGCTACTCAGAGAACAATATCAGAAAAAGTTCAAGAGCAGCACCTACTCAAGTAAGGAACAAAAGTCTCCCGGCAGGTGTACTGGCCACAAAAGTATTTGGTTAGGTTAAATTTGGGTTTGAGTCTAGTAAGCCCCACAACAGTTGTGAAAGCTATACAGTATTTAAATGTTATCAAGAGTTCATGGGAGGGGCTGGGGCTGGGAGTGTAGCTCAGTGGTAAAGCACACACTTATCGTGTATAAGGCCCCAGTTTCAATAACAGCACCAAAAATAAAAAGGAAGAGTTAATGGGAAATATTGAACCCAAAACTTTATTTCTGGCTTTTTCCTTTTTATCTGACTTTGCCTACTAGCCAAAGATTCATGAACTAATAATGAATGACTGTTACTACTCTCAAGAACTAGGGAGACAGGCACAGTGCACACTCATGTAATCCCAGTGGCTTGGGAGTCTGAGGCAGGAGGATCACAAGTTCAAAGCCAGTCTCAGCAAAAGTGAGGCACTAAGCAACTCAGAGAGACTCTGTCTGTAAATAAAATACAAAATAGGGCTGGGATGTGACTCAGTGGTCAAGTGCCCCTGAGTTCAATCCCCTTACCCGCCCCCCCCCCCCGCAAAAAAAAAGAACTAAGGAGACAGGAAGACATGGATATATTCCTCATGTAAAATGTGAAAATCATTCACAACTTGTTCATCTGTTTCCCTTGCCAGAAGTAACTCCTATAGGTTGATAATCTCTAATCTGAAAATGCAGACTTCAGACTTTTCCAAAATCCAAAATTTTTTGAGTATCAATCAGATTAAGCATTCTCAACTGGTAAAGCCTATGCGAATATTCCAAAATCCAGAAAACTCTAAAATTTGAAACACTTGGTCCCAGGCATTTCAGATAAGGGAGTCCATGGGAAGAGGTGATATACATCATTAGGCAGGCAATCCTGACTTATACCGGTGTTGGCCACTAAGCTACTTTCTCATCTAAGCAGGAATTTATTTCCATTCATTGAAACACTTTTTTTAAGTCTTCAAAAGAGGACATCATTACCACACAGGACTTTAAAGCAAATGAAACAAGCTATCTTTAACTATGCAATGTATTTTTATCTGAAATTGATGTTTTCTGATGTCACTCTAAATCTCAATTAAGATAATCATGTGCTCAGATACTCTAAAACTGTCTTCTTTTGGCTTTTAAAAATATATATTATCATAACTTTATTTGGTTAGTTAACATTTCTTAAAATCATAGTCATATTTTATTGCCCTCCACAAATGTCAACTTTAAAAAAAAAAAGTGAAGGTTTGTGACAATCCTGCATCAAGCAAGTCTATTGGCATCATTTTTTCAATAGCACATGCTGATTTAATATCTCTGTGTCACATTTTGGTAAACTTGAAATATTTTAAAGTTTTATTGTTCTTGCTATGGTGATCTGTGATCAGTGATGTTAGTATTTTAATTGTTTTAGGGTGCCATAAACCATACCCATTTAAGATAGCAAAGTTAATTGATAAGTGTTGTGTATGTTTTGACTGCTCTGCTGACTTGCTGTTCCCCCATCTCTCTCCCTCAGCTCAGGCCTCCCTATTCCCTGAAACACAACTATGTTTAAATTAGGCCAATTAATAACTTTACAGAATCCTCTAAATGTTCAAGTGAAAATAAAGCCAGGCATCTCCTACTTTAAACCAAAAACTAGAAATGATCAAGCTTGGTGAGAAAGATCAAAGCTGAGCTAGGCTGAAAGCAGCCAAATTCTGAATGCAATGGACAACTCACTGTTGGAAATTGAAAGTTCTATTCCAGTGCACACACAAATGATAAGAAAGCAAAACACCTTTATCACTGATACGAAGAAATGGATAGTTTAGCAGTGTGGGTAGATCAAACCAGCCATAACAGTCCCTTGTGCCAAAGCCTAATCCAGCCTGAACTCTCTTCAGTTTTGTGAAGGCTGAGAGGACTGAGGGAGCCGCAGACAAAAAAAAAAATTTGAATCTAGCAGAAATTAATTCATGAGGTTCAAGGAAAGAAGCATCTCCATAGCATTAAAGTGCACAATGATCAGTAAATGCTGATAGAAGCTGCAGCAGGTTATCCAGAATATCTGCCTAAGATCATTGATGAAGGTGGCTTTGCTAAACCTCAGGTTTTCATTGTAGACAAAAGAGCCCCCTATACTTAAAGAAAATAGTCATCTAGGACTTTCATGGCTAGAGAGGAAAAGTCAATGCTTGGCTTCAAAACTTCAAAGGAGCGTGGCTCTCTTGAAAGAGGGTGATACAAAAAGTGACTTTAAGGTGAAGCCAAGGCTCATTCACTATTTCACAAAATTCTAGGCCCCTGAAGAATTATACTAAATCTATCTTGCTTATGCTCTATAAGTGAAATAGCTCAACATTAGCGCTATTGCTTGACCTATTGCTCAAGAAAAAAAGATTTGTCTTACTGAGTGTGATAGTGCACACCTGTAATCCCAGCTATTTGGGGGGCTTAAGCAGGAGAATCACATGTTCAAGGCAAGCCTAGGCAACTTTGCAAGACTCTGTCTTAAAATAAAGCATAAAGAAGGGCTGGGGATGTATCTCAGTAGAACAGCACCTATGGGTTCAATCCCCAGAGCCATAAAAAAAAAAAAAAAGAAGAGATTTCTCCTAAAATATTATGGCTCATTGACAATGCACCTGGTCACCATAGTGCTATCAAACAACATTGTGTGTCTCAAATAAATTTTTCATGCAAGAAAGAGTCAGTTGATGGGACAGACTTCACCTGGTCAAGAGCTGTGATGTGGATGTATACATAATGAGATTAATGTTTTCATGCCTGCTAATATAACATCCATTCAAGATACCATTAAGAATATTCATGATTCATGGAAGGAAGTCAAAATAGCAACATAATAGGAGTTTGAAAGAAGTCTATTTCAAACTTCGTGGATGACTTTGAGGGGTTCAAGATTTCAGTGGAGGAAGTAACTGCCAATGTGGTGAAAAGAATTAGAAGTAGAATCAGGAAATGTGATGTGATTTCTGTGATCTCATAATAAAACTTCAACAAATAAAGAATTATTTCTTATGAGCAAAAGAAAGTGATTTCTTAAGATGGAATCTTAATCTTACTAAAGATGATGTTGTTAACATTGTGTTGAACTAAGGATTTAGAATATTACATTAACTTGATTTAAAAGGCAGCAGGAGCCAGGTAGGGTGGCTGGTGGCACATACTGGTAACTCCAGCAATTTAGGAGGCTGAGGCAGGAGGATCATAAGTTCAAGAACAGCCTCAGCAACTAATTGAGACCCTTTCTCAAAAATAAAAGTATAAAAAGGGGCAGGAATGTAGCTCTGTGGTTGAGAGCTCCTGGGTTTAACTTCTAGTAAAACAAACATGAAAACAGCAGGGTGAGAGACGATTTGACTTCAGTCCTGAAAGAGGGTCCTTCCTGGGTAAAATGCTATCAAACAACATTGTGTATCTCAGATAAATTTTTTATGTAAAGAAGAGTTCATCGATGTGGTAGCCTTCATTTTTGTTTTAGTTTAAGGAATTGTCACAACCACCCCAGCTTTCAGCAACCACCACCCTGACAAGTTAGCAGCCATCAACATCAATGTAAATCCTCCACCTGCAAAAAGGACTTGCTGTTGGCTCAGATGGTCATTAGCATTTTTAACAATAAAGTATTTTTTAGAATATTTTTAGTTGTAGATGAACATCATACCTCTATTTTATGCTTTTTTTTTTTTAATGTGGTGCTGAGGATCGAACCCAGTGCCTCACATGTGCTAGGCAAGCGCTCTACTACTGAGAACAACTCCAGCCCCAAAATAAAGCATTTTTAATTAAACTATGTACATTTTAATGCTATTGCACACTTAATAGACTACAGCATATCATACACATAATTTCTATATGTACTGGGAGACCCCAAAAATGTGTGTGACTCACTTTATTGTGAAATTTGCTTTATTGCAATAATCCAGAACCAAATGCTCAATAGCTTCAAGGTATGCCTGTACCTTACTTAAAATAGATTATTTATGTTTGTCAGATTTACTGTGTACTACATTTAAATACACACATACACACACACACACACACACATATCTCAGAAAATAGCTTATGTGCTAATAGCTAGTGTTCTCTAAACATTTTTGTGTGTTCTTAAGAGGAGAGGAAACTACTCTGAAATTTTAATAAGCATGATTTGTTGTTGAATTCAACACAAAGCAGAGCTATCTCAGGTACCATTAAAGGAATAATAAACTACCAGAAATCTACAGTAGTAAGTTCTCTTTTTAATTTTTTTTTATTAGTAGTTGTTCAAAACATTACAAAGCTCTTGACATATCATATTTCATACATTTGACTCAAGCGGATTATGAACTCCCATTTTTACCCCGTATACAGATTGCAGAATCATATCGGTTACACATCCACGTTTTTACATACTGCCATATTAGTGACTGTTGTATTCTGCTGCCTTTCCTATCCTCTATCCCCCCTCCCCTCCCCTCCCCTCCCATCTTCTCTCTCTACCCCATCTATTGTAATTCATTTCTCTCTCTTGTTTTTTTTCCCCTTTCCCCTCACTTCCTCTTATATGTAATTTTGTATAACAGTGAGGGTCTCCTTCCTTTACCATACAATTTCCCTTCTCGCTCCCTTTCCCTCCCCCCTCTTGTCCCTGTTTAATGGTGATCTTCTTCTCATGCTCTTCCTCCCTGCTCTGTTCTTAGTTGCCCTCCTTATATCAAAGAAGACATTTGGCATTTGTTTTTTAGGGATTGGCTAGCTTCACTTAGCATAATCTGTTCTAATGCCATCCATTTCCCTGCAAATGCCATGATTTTGTCATTTTTAGTGCTGAATAATACTCCATTGTGTATAAATGCCACATTTTTTTTTATCCATTCATCTATTGAAGGGCATCTGGGTTGGTTCCACCGTCTAGCTATTGTGAATTGTGCTGCTTTGAACATCGATGTAGCAGTATCCCTATAGTACGCTCTTTTAAGGTCTTCAGGGAATAGTCCGAGAAGGG